CGGCACCTGCTGCCCTCACCCGGCCCGCTGCGCCGCTGTCATGCGGCTGGCGCTGCTCTGGGCGCTGGGGCTCCTGGGCGCGGGCAGCCCTCTGCCCTCCCGGCTGCTCCCAAATGCGGGTAAGTCCCGGGCCGGGAGTGAGTCGGGGGGCGGACTTGGAGGAGGTGCGGGGAAGTCGGGAGGCACTGGGATACTGGGGTCGGCCAGAGACCCTGGGAGAGCTCAACCTGAGCGCGGCTCGCCCTGATCTGCTGTCCTGGGCCTAGGACCCGGTGACTTGGCAATGGAGTAAAGAGAGGAGGAGGGGGGATGCCGGCGCCCCCAGCCCGGTCATTCTCTGCTTGGTGCCCGCGTACACTTTACGGCTCAGGTACTAGGCACCGAGGGTCTTACCCAGCGCCCCCTCAGTATCGTGGAAAGAGGGCGCCCAGGACTGACGTCTTCGCTCCTCTGGGGCCTAGCTGACCGTTCTACCCGGTGCCAGGGCGCCGAGTGGGCATGGCTTGTAGGGTTTAGTGAAGAGTATTCTTTCTAGCTCCTTATCCCACGGCTAGGCGGCCAGGCACCCCTCACCCTGCTGCTTTTGCCACCAGAAGCCTGGCTGAGCGGGAGAGGTCCGGGAGGAGCCAGGAGAAGGGAGAATTGGCCAGGAAAGAGGCTGGGACACCATCTCCTCCTTGGAACTTTCACTTCCCGCTGCTGTCTTGGGCCGGGGGCCGAGAAGGCAGGCGCGGGTGGAGTGTCCGGAGGAGAGAGGGCCATGGCGGGTGGGAAGGTGGTTATGGGGGAGGAAGCGGAGGCTGTGGGGAGCGGGTGTGCCTGACTGGGCATGAGGGTTGTTTAGGGAGGGGGGGGTGTTTGCACCGCTCACCCAGAAATGGGCGTTCCCAATATCTCCAATGTGAGGGAAGGGGAGGGTGAGTGGGAACCAGGCTACAAGGCTTAGCTCAGATCTGAGAGGGGGTGTCGGGGGGGCGTGATCGGGAAGGAGTGGGAACAGGGGAGGGTCCCTGTGAGAACCTGGGACTGGTCAGAGGGGGATGAGGAGGCAAGCTGAACTTCTTTCCCTGGGGACTTGTGGATGGGTTGATGGGTGGAAAGCCATAAGTTGGAGAGAAGCCCTTCCCTCCAGTATCTCCTTTAAGTCCCAGCATGCAGTGCTGGAGCCCTCGGGGCCCTGAAGGGCCAGATGTGCTGGGAGGTGATGGGTCTGAGGGTACCAGCCATCCCCAGCCCTGGTGCTGATTCCCTCAGTACTCTCTTGGGGTGTCCTGGAACCCTGCAGGTGGCACTGAGGAGCAGCAGGTGAGGCCAGAGAAGACCGTAAGTGGATCCTTGGAGCCCCAGCTTCTTCAGGACAATCTCCTGATGAGCCTAGCAGAGGTGCTTCAGGTGTGCTCCCCTACCCCCTCTAATAAATAAATGATGTGTAACCCACCCCCACCCCTGACATAATGAGGTGTCTCAAGGCCAAAGTGTGTCTGAGGGGCTGGTGAGTGGACCTGGCTGTAGCAGGTCCGTTCCAGGTCTGGCTGCCTGTCCCACCACACCCCAGCACCTGGCTTCACTTATCTCCTCTCCCCTCTACACACACATCTGTCTGCTTCAGCCCCACCCAACCCGTCCATCTCCACTGGGGAAATACTGAAGCCAAGCTTGCTTTCTTCATCTCATGTTGTTAGTTTTCTCAGTGGGGGGATTTGGAAAGTGTCAGGGCCTCACCCCCCCCCACCCCCCCACTCTGAAGCTGAGTCAGAGGAAGGGCTGGGGCCTGTGCTGGGTCCTCCATGATGCTTCCTCTCTGGGCAGGAAGCCGAGAAGGGGTGGCTCAGATACCTTCCTTGACCTCCCTACACAACCCCCCAGAACAATGCCCAGGCCAGGCAGGGCTTCCTGACTCCTCCCTTGGGACCCCCCCCCCCACTAGTGATCTAATTGTTGGTGCTCTCCTGAGGGCCTGAGGTTTTCTAGTTGGACAGGGCAGGAGTTGCAGGCAGGGCTAGGGAGGTGACATGCCCTCTGGTACCCACAGACCAGTCTGCCTGAGGCCCTGAGGATCAAATTGGAGCTGGACGGTGAAAGTCATATCCTGGAGCTGCTACAGAATAGGTAATAATGATGGTGGTAATAATAATAATCATATAGGCTGACTGGTTAGCTCAGTTGGTTGGAGCAGAGTGCTGATAACACTAAGATGAAGGGTTCAGATCCCTGTACCAGCCAGCTGTGAAAAGAAAATAATAATCACATAGCTAATAATTTATATACCATTTACTATGTGCCAGTACTTAGTGCTTGCACTCATTTAACCCTCATAATAACCTCATAAGGTACGTACTGTTATGTATTGTTTTCCTCATTTTATGTATGAAGAAGTCAAGGCACAAAGAGCTGAAATAACTTGCCCAAGGTCACACAGTTAATATGTGGTAAAAACCAGACTGGAACCCAGATAGCTTGGCAGAGTCAGTGGCCCACCTGCTGTACTCTGCTGCCTCAAGGGAAAGTGGGAAGGTTAGAGGGTTGCCTGGCTCCCAGCTACCCGCTACCACCTCCAGGCCTCAACTTGTCACTGCACCACCCTGGGAAGCGGCTCAGACACCACCCTTCTTTTTCTTCACTCCACAGGGAGTCGGTCCCAGGCCGCCCAACTCTGGTGTGGTACCAGCCTGATGGCACTCGGGTGGTCAATGAGGGACACACTCTGGTGAGTCAGGCCCTCTTGTGCCATTTCTGGCCTAGGAGGGGGAGAGAAGGGGCAACTGGAGAGTGCCAGGCCTAGAGGATATGGGAAGACACTGAATGTATTTACCAACAAGCTAGACTCCTGGGTTCAAATCCTGGTCCACCCTTCAGCACTACTGTTGTTTCTCTGCTGTAGGAGAACTGCTGCTACCAGGGAAGAGTACAGGGCCATGCAGACTCCTGGGTGTCCGTCTGCACCTGCTCTGGGCTCAGGTACAGTGGGTGGATTCCGTGACAGTGGAGAGGATGAGGGGATACCAAGAATGTTCTCTGACTTCTTTTCTCTTTCCTTAGGGGCTTGGTGATCCTGTCCCCAGAGAGAAGCTATGCCCTGGAACTGGGGCCTGGAGACTTTCAGGGTCCTCCCATTATCTCCCGGATCCAAGACCTCCTCCTGCCAGGCCACACCTGTGCCCTGAGGGGGCGTGCATCTGTGCCCACTCAGGCTCCACCCAAGCTCCCCCTGGGACAACACTACATTCGCAGCCGGGTGAGGATGAATGGCAGGAAGACTGGGCTTCAGTTGTCTTGAGAGCTGACCCCCACCCTCAGAGCTACAGTATTTGTTCACAGTAACAACAAGCTCCTGCTATTTCTACATGCCAGGCACTTTATAAAAATTATCTCATTTACTCTTCCCAGCAACCCTAGGAAGTAGGTACTATCAATAGATCTATTTTAAAATGAGGAAACTGGCTCAAAGAGGTTAGATGACTTGCTCAATGCCATGCAACTAAAAAAAAGGTATATCCAGGATTCAGAAGCAGCTATTTGACTCAAACTCCTTGTCTGTCTTATGATCACATTTTCAGAGAGTTCTCACTTGGGTATAGAAATTACGTAGCTCTCAGGGCCAGCCCGCGTCTCACTTGGGAGAGCATGATGCTGACAACACCAAGTCGAGGGTTAAGATCACCTTATCGGTCATCTTTAAAAAAAAAAGAAAATACATAGTTCTCAACCACAAAACAATAAAAACCCAATTTGCTAATTTGTTTTTGGTTTTAGTGGCAAGGAACAGGGATCAAACCCTGGTGTTATCGGGCACCATGCTCTAATCAACTGAGCTATCAACCTCTCCTCAATTTCCTAATTTGTAAAATGTGGATAATAAAACTACTTACTTTATAGGGTTGCTGTAAGGATTAAATGAGTCCATATCTATGTAAATTACTTAGAACCGTATCTGGCATATGATCAGTAGGAGGACACTTCAAAAAGTTCATGGAAAATGGAATTAAAAGATAGAAATAAAAAATACAAACTTTATTTCTCAACATAATCTCCATCAAGTTCAAGACACTTTTGTAAGCAATGATACCAGCCATTTAGTCCATCCCTGAAGAACTGAGGGTCCTGGCAATTCTACCATGTCGATGCACTCTTCTTTCCATATTAACTGAAGAAAAATGGGTGCCCTTTAAAGATTATTTTTTATTGAAACAATTGATTATACATATTTGTGGGGAACAGAGTTGAATATCAATATCTGTGTACAATATATGATGATCAAATCAGGATAATTAGAATATTAAAGATTTCTTAAGATTAGGAAACAAAGAAGTCAGAAAGAGCCAAATCAGGACTGTAAAGTAGATACCTAGCGATTTCCCATCAAAACGCTCACAAAATTGCCCTTGTTTGTTGTGGAGAAGGACTCTCATTGAAGCTTTCCTGGGCATTTTTCTACTAAAGCTTTGGCTAACTTTCTCCAAACACTCGCATAATAAGCAGATGCTATTGTTCTTTGGTCCTCCAGAAAGTCAACAAGCAAATGCTTTGAGCATCCCAAAAACTTATTGCCATGATCTTTGCCCTTGACTGGGCTGCTTTGGCTTTACCACTTCCACCTGTTGGTAGCCATGGCTTTGATTGTGCTTTGTCTTCAGGATCATTCTAGTAAAGTGATGTTTCATCTCCTGTTGCAATTCTTCAAATAAATGCTTCAGGATCTTGATCCCCGTTGTTTAAAATTTCCATTGAAAGCTCAGCTCTTGTCTGCAGCTAATCTAGGCACAACAGTTTTGGCACCCATAGAGCAGAAAGTTTGCTCAACTGTAATTTTCCAGTCAGGATTGTGTAAGCTGAACCACTTGAGATGTCTATGGTGTTGGCTATTTTTTCTGCTGTTTATCATCGGTTGTCTTCAATTAGGATATGAACAAGATTAATTTTTTCTTCGCAAATTGATGTCGATGGTCTGCTGCTCAAGGCTTCCATCTTTTTTTTTTTTTTTTTTTCAAAAGATGACCGGTAAGGGGATCTTAACCCTTGACTTGGTGTTGTCAGCACCACGCTCACCCAGTGAGCAAACCAGCCATCCCTACATGGGATCCGAACCCATGGCCTTGGTGTTATCAGCACCGCACTCTACCAAGTGAGCCACAGGCCGGCCCCTCAAGGCTTCCATCTTAACATCATCTCATTTCTTCTTAAAATGAGTTATTCATTTGTAAACTGCTGCTTTCTTTGGGGCATTGTTCCCATAAACTTTTTCTAAAGCATTAACGATGTCACTATTCTTCCACCCAGGCTTCACTATAAATTTGATGTATTCATGTTGCTCTGATAAGTGCTCTTTTCAAACTGATGTCTCGTCCTTTTTAGTGCTTCAAACAAGATCCTGTTCAGACATTATAATAAGTTAATATGAGTTTATTTTGGTACAAAAAAAATTTTAAACACATGCATAGTTTTTTAGCATACACATTTTCCATGAACTTTTTGAAGACCCCTCATATTTGATAGTGTTAGCTATTTTTTTTTTTTTTATTTGGAAAAAGCACTGAGTTTGGAGCCAGAAAAGCAGAGCTCTACTCCCAGCGTCATAGTCTACTTCTTGGTCTGTCTTGGGCAAGTCCCTGGCCTCTCTGGCTCTCAGTGGTTCATCTGTAAAATGGACTCTTCACCCTCCTCTGTTTGACTGCAGAGGGTGGGAGTAGACACAGCTTGGTCAGCCTACGTGGCTGCCGGCTATGAGAGGCAGGTTTGCCTGATATTCCTTCTTCTTGTCCATAGCGGAAGCGGGACGTGGTGACAGAGACCAAGATTGTTGAGCTGGTGATTGTGGCCGATCATTCAGAGGTGAGCCTGCTGGCCCCTGCACATCCTTCTCTGCCCCTTCCCTCCCCTGCCGCCTTTCCTGGTCACCTTTCTTGGCCCACAGGTCCAGAGGTACCTGGACTTCCAGCGCCTGCTGAACCGCACACTAGAAGTAGCCCTCCTGCTGGATACAGTGAGTATGGGGCTGGGCAGCAGCCCCACAGTCCCCTGTCATGACAACTCTTCTGAGCTCCAGCTCTCTTTCAGTTCTTCCAGCCCCTAAATGTACGGGTGGCACTAGTGGGCCTGGAGGCCTGGACCCAGCACGACCTGGTGGAAATAAGCCCAGACCCAGCTGTCACACTAGACAACTTCCTCCACTGGCGCCGGGAAAACTTACTGCCTCGCTTGCCCCACGACAGTGCCCAGCTGGTGACGTAAGGCCCCAGTCTCAGCCAGAGGGGCCTAACTCTACCCTGTCCTGGCCAAATTCTTACCCCTTCAACTCCCTGCCTCAAGCCCTGAAGCTCTGAAGCTTTTTGGCCCTGACCTTTGACCTCTTGATCTCACAGTGGTACTTCATTCTCTGGGCCTATGGTGGGCATGGCCATTCAGAACTCCATCTGTTCTCCTGACTTCTCAGGAGGTGTGAACATGGTGAGTTATTTCCAGGTCTCCTCCCCATTCCCAGTTCAGTTCCTCCCAAGTATGGTGCTGTTTATTCACTGAAATCCCCGACCAAGTTGCCCAACCCCTGGGTATAGAGGGAGGAGGTACACGATGCAGCTTCTGCTGTCAGGGAGCCCCTCACTTGTGGCCAGCTCATGACAGTGTACACAGTCTTCAGCTATGAGGCCTTCCTATTTCTTGGGGGGAGGGAAAGGACCAGCTGAGGCCCAAAGAACAGAAGTGATCTTCAGGGGCCACACAGTGAAGGAGGGGAACAGAGCTGAGTTAGAACCCAGGTTTCCTGCCACCCAGGCCTGGGCTCTCCTCCTACTTTAGAAGCAATTAAGGAGAGAGGCAGTGCCTGCTAAATACCCAAGAGGTCAGTTGAGGAGGAAACAGGAGCAGTCAGGGTAGGCTGGGCATTATGGTGGAAGCAGGCTGGGCTGGATCTGGGGTATTCCCTCTCCAATGACAGGACCACTCCACAAGCATCCTGGGAGTTGCCTCCTCAATAGCCCATGAGTTGGGCCACAGCCTGGGCCTGGATCACGATTCACCTGGGAACAGCTGCCCCTGTCCAGGTCCAGCCCCAGCCAAGAGCTGTATCATGGAGGCCTCCACAGAGTGAGTGGCTGCAGGATGCAGAGAGGGAATGGGGCAGGAGGCAGGGCAAGGTCTGCAGCCCCAACCTTCCTTGCCACCCTCCCCAGCTTCCTGCCAGGCCTGAACTTTAGCAACTGCAGCCGGCAGGCCCTGGAGAAAGCCCTCCTGGATGGAATGGGCAGCTGTCTCTTTGAACGGCTGCCCAGCCTGCCACCCATGGCCACTTTCTGCGGAAATATGTTTGTGGAGCCAGGCGAGCAGTGTGACTGTGGCTTCCCGGATGTAAGCCCCTTACCCAAAGCTTTGCCCCACTCACTTCTGTGCCCTCCTCCTGGCTTATTAACCTTCTCCAAGCCTCCTGTGCTCCTCTCTGCTTCTGAAGGGATCTCCCACCCCTCTTGCGACCTTCCTGTCCGTAGGGACAGCACATGGATTGTGGGGCTTTAGCTCTCACTGGCTGTGTGGCTTGGGCATTCTTATGGATTGGGGTACTGAGAGGAGGGGTTGGAGGTAAGCCAGCCTGCTCTGATGCTCAGCCCCCCTGTGCCCTTGCCCACAGGACTGCACTGATCCCTGCTGTGATTACTTCACCTGCCAGCTGAGACCAGGGGCACAATGTGCGTCCGATGGACCCTGTTGTCAGAATTGCCAGGTGAGCGCAGACTGGATTGGCCACCCAGAACTCCCCTGTCAGGCGCCAGAGTGGAAAGGGTCATTCTGACCCCAAGCCTGGCTGGATTTGCCCAGTGCCCACACTGATGCTCACCTACCCTCCACAGCTGCGCCCAGCTGGCTGGCAGTGCCGTCCTACCAGAGGCAACTGTGACTTACCGGAGTTCTGCCCAGGAGACAGCTCCCAGTGCCCCCCTGATGTCACCCTGGGGGACGGCGAGCCCTGTGCTGGTGGACAGGCCGTGTGCATGCATGGGCGTTGTGCTTCCTATGCCCAGCAATGCCAGTCACTTTGGGGACCTGGGGCCCAGCCTGCCCCACCACTTTGCCTCCATATAGCCAACACTCGGGGGGATGCTTTTGGGAACTGTGGGCGCAGCCCCAACGGCAGTTACGTGCCCTGTGCTCCTAGGTAAGTGAGGAAATATGGCTCTTACTCTGGGTTTATGGGTGCCTTGGCCCTGCTCCCACTGACCCTGCACCCCCCACCACCACCAGAGACGCCATTTGTGGGCAGCTCCAGTGCCAGGGGGCTAGCTCACAGCCTCTGCTGGGCTCAGTTCGAGATCTGCTCTGGGAGATGCTGGAAACCAATGGGACCCAGCTGAATTGCAGCTGGGTGCACCTGGACCTGGGCAACGATGTGGCCCAGCCCCTCCTGACTCTGCCTGGCACAGCCTGTGGCCCTGGCCTGGTGAGCAGCCTGGGTTGGCAAGACCAGGTGGGAAGGGATATCTGGACCATGGCGAGCAGTGCCCAGGCCTCACTATCCACCAGTGTAAAAGGCAGACTCTGAGGGAAGTCAGATTCTTACTTCAGATTGAGCAATGTCCTGTTATCCCCCTAAGCCTTGGTTTCCACATCTGTAAAAGCAGGATGTGGCCTCGGCCTTGTTGGCGTCCATTCCCAGTAAAGCTTTGTGAGAATGTGATCTTTGCTCTTCTCTCCTCATGGGGCAGGTGTGTATTGACCATCGATGCCAGCCTGTGGATCTCCTGGGAGCACAGGAATGTCGAAGCAAATGCCACGGACATGGGGTGAGCCGGTATGGGGGAGATGGAAGGGGAGCAGGGTGCCTCTAGGGAGGAAAAGGATGGTGGGCTTTGGAAATAGACATACTTGGGTTCTAATCCTTGCTCTACTACTTCCTAGCTGTGTGGCCTGTAGAAGGTGCTCAGTAAGTGTTAGTTTGATCTAATTTCCTCTGGCATGAGTAGAGACTCCCTTTCTCCAGGGCTCAGCCTCTCTCTACTCATCATCCCCAGCACAATTTCCAGCTATAGAAATCAGAGATCTTGGAAAGCTAGAGACAGGGGAATGGTCCCAGAGGGCAGAACCCCTCATTGCTCTCCCTGTACCTCCTAGGTCTGCGACAGCAGTTGGCACTGCCACTGTGAGGAGGGCTGGGCACCCCCTGACTGCACTACCCAGCTCAGAGGTAGCATGGAGTGGGGGCAGGGGCAGCTGGGAGGACATAGTGGCTCATCCTTTACCTTTTCCCCCTTGGTCCTCTTGGTTTGACCCCTTTGCTTCTGGTTCCCTGACTCTATAATCCCCAACCCCCTTCACCTTCTCTGGTCATTTGACTTCACTTCCTGTCCCCTGCTCCTTCATGGATGTAGAGTTCTTAGCCCTGCCCACCTTAAAACCTGACCTCACCCCACAGCAACCAGATCCCTGACCACAGGGATGCTCCTCAGCCTCCTGTTGTTACTGGTCCTGGTGCTGCTTGTTGCCAGCTACTGGCACCGTGCCTGTCTGCGCCAGCGACTCTGCCAGCTCAAGGGACCCAGCTGCCAATACAGGTATGAGCATCACCTCCCCACTACCAATTCCTTCAACTGGGGACAGTTCTGAAGGCTGCCCTCACCTCTGCAGCCCCTTCCACGTGGTTCTTTTTTTTTTTTTTCTTTTTGTCTTTTTTACTGACCGGTAACGGGATCGCAACCCTCGGTGTCGCGCCCACACCGCGCTCAGCCAGTGAGCGGAAACCGGTCTCCACATGGGATCCGAACCCTCGGCGGGAGCGCCGCCGCACTCCCAAGCGGCGCACTCTCCAGTGCGCCACCAGGCCAGCCCGAAAATAAGTTGTTTTTTTGTTTGTTTGTTTTTTTGTCTATTTTCGTGACCGGTAAGGGGATCGCAACCCTTGGTGTGGTGTCACCCACATCGCGCTCAGCCAGTGAGAGCACCGGCCATTCTTATATAGGATCCGAACCTGTGGAGGGAGCGTTGCTGCGCTCCCAGCACTGCACTCTCCCGAGTGCACCACGGGCTCGGCCCTCCACGTGGTTCTAAGCCCCAAGCCCCTTGGACCCTGAACCTGCCGACTGCCACACCCTACACACCTCCCTTCCCTACACACACCACATAACTCTCCAGCTTACACGTTTGCCCCCATGGGGCAGCTGGGATGCTAAAGCCATTTCTCCCCAGGAGCCCTTGTGCTGGATAAATGGGGCCCTCTCATGCTGATCAACCCCCCCCCCACATCACCCCTGATTTGACCTAAACCACACACAAACAAGCTCCTCTCCAAGGGGCTACAAAGGGTTAACCCCACTCAAGGGTGGCATAAGGGTGGAGAACAGGGTCTGAGGCTGGGCCCTTTCCCTCCTTTCTTTTCCTCATGCTCAGGGCAGCCCAATCTGGTCCCCCAGAACAGCCAGGACCCCCACAGAGGGCTCTGCTGATGCCAGGCACTAAGGTAAGTTTTAGATGCCAGAGGAAAGGGGCCTGGCATCCAGCTGGGCACTGGGAGGTGGGCATTGAAGTCTCTAGACTCAGAGAAAGGCTAGCATTGCCCAAGAGTCAGTGAAAGGAGTCAGGGCCAGCCCTCCTCTCCTCTTCTCCCTTCCCCTTCTTATCCCTCCCCATCCTTCCCTGTCCCTTACCTGGCTATAGTCTGAGAAGCAGAGTCCAGACTGGAGTGGGGAGGGACGGTCACCTAGAGGAGGGTCTGCTGAGCTCTTTTGGCTGGCCAAGCTGGTGGCTTTGAGAGGTGGGTCTATTCATGCCCCCAGCAGTGACCCTTGGAGGGTACAAGGGGGGTGGTGCTCAGAATGGCCTTCAGTGTACCAGGACCTGACAAGGCCCAGGTCACCATGCGTAGAAGGGCTGGTGAGTGCCCCTGTCCTGAGTTCTCTGGATCTGATGACAGGACTATGTGTGTGGAGGTGATCTGCATGCCCACTCCACCCTTTGTCACCCCCTCCGCATGCAACTGAATAACTGTATGCACAGCACCGCTGCCCCTGGGGCCCTGGCTGCCCCTCCCTAGGCACTAACCTCTCACTGCCCGCATCTGTCTCTCTGCTCCTTCTTCCCCCCACCCTGTGCTTGTCTGCTCCTCCTGCTCTCTCAGCAGACTAGTGCTCGTGGCTTCCCACCACCCCCCTCCAGGCCGCTGCCGCCTGACCCTGTGCCCAAGAGATTCCAGGTAAATCTGGGCCAGGCCCTGCCCAGGGCAGGTGGGAGGCTTGGTGCCCAATGCATTTCCCTGCCAGTGGTGCTCTTCATTAGGCGACGAGGGTGCCCCCCCCCCCCCGCCTTCAGCAGCAGACTAGTGCTCGTGGCTTCCCACCACCCCCCTCCAGGCCGCTGCCGCCTGACCCTGTGCCCAAGAGATTCCAGGTAAATCTGGGCCAGGCCCTGCCCAGGGCAGGTGGGAGGCTTGGTGCCCAATGCATTTCCCTGCCAGTGGTGCTCTTCATTAGGCGACGAGGGTGCCCCCCCCCCCAGCCTTCAGACACTCTGGGCCTCAGAAGCAGCAAAGGGCGAGCCTCCTGTCTTGGTTTCTAGCACCATCTGGTGGTCAGTGGCGGGCGTGCAGTCGGCCAGGGACTCCACGGTTGACCCACACTTTCCTCCCTTGAGGCATCTGCTGGAATGCACCCAAGCCCTCTGCACATACTTCCATTCTCCCCTGGCTGACTTTGCATGTTGACTTGAACCACTCTGGGGAACCACTGCATGCCCACTGCCCCAGGCTGTGTTCTTACAGCCACTGCTCCTCTCTCTGTTCAGGCTGAGCTGGCTGACCGACCCAATCCCCCCACCCGCCCTCTGCCCGCTGACCCGGTGGTGAGGCGCCCGAAGGTAACAGTGGGGGGAGAGAAGGGCACGGCCTCTCCCCCCACCTAGGGCTGTGGTGCTGGTAGCCGTGGCGGTGGTGGCCGTGGTGAGATGCCCCCTCAGTGCCTGAGACCACATATCCTGGTGGTGTATTTAACGGTGACAGGTTTGTTTGGAGACAAGGGTGACCTCTGGTACTGCCCCCAGGCTGGTGTTCCCAGCACCAGTGCATCGGGGGGTGGGCAACCTGACATCCCCTACAAGCTGGCCTCCTGCCTTCTCTCTCTCAGTTTCATGGGCCTGCCAAGCCCCCACCCCCAAGGAAGCCACTGCCTGCGGACCCCCAAGGCCGGCGCCCACTGGGTGATCTACCTGACCCAGGGGCTGGAATACCCCCCCTAGTGGTACCCTCCAGGTAGGCGAGGAGGGACGCACAGGATGGGTGGGAGGGATGAGTGATCTGGGAAAAGGAGACTTCTGACCTTTTTCTTGGCCCATACTGCAGGCCAGCACCACCACCGCCCCCAGCAGTGTCCTCGCTCTACCTCTGACCTCTCCTGAAGTTCTGCTGCCTCCAACCCAGACTTAGGACTTCAAGAGGTGGACTCATCCCCGAGAGTCCCCCACCAGGACTGAAGGAAACGGAGCCTGGACACAGTGGAACAGGCGTCTTAAGCCACCAGGGACATTCAAGTTCTGTCAAGCAGCATCCTGGGGGCCTGTAGTTGCAGCCGCGGGTTGAGGAGGGGCTGGGGGCTGGACGGGGCTGAGGGAGGTGCGTACAGCCTGTCTCTGCTCAGCTGGCTCAGCTGCTCAGCTGCAATAAACGTGAGATCTTGGGAGCGCGCCTCGGAGTTTGCACCGGGAAGTGGGGTCGCCTCCGCTGCGGTTCCAGATCTGGCCCCCAGGAGACGCTGCCTCCTTAGACGAGGGCGGCCTGGGGAGCGCGGGAGTCCCAGAATGGGCAGCCTGTGTCCCGGGGATGCTCGTGGCTTGTTTCTCTGCCCAGTCAGGCATGGCTCTCAGCGCAGTCCTGTAGCACAGAGAATTGTACGCCTGTTGCCACCCTCACTCTCCAAGTCCTTGTCCCCGATGTCGCGCGGCCTCCAGGAGCGGCTATAGACAAACCAGCCAAGCTGTCGGACCCGCCGTCCCCACCCTCTGACCACTAGCTGGGAAAAGTGGATCTGGCTGGTATTCTCAGAGCCCCGGAGCCGGGGCGGAGCGGGGCGGCGGCTCCCACGATCCCAAGGCCGCGCACCTGCCTCCTCCCCCTCCTCCGCCCCCACCTGAGGGCTCGGGAACAAAGGTGCTTTGTACCGGCCGCAACCACCTCATTACTTCGTCTTCGGGACTGGAGCCCGCGTAGGCCCCCCTCCCAGAACGAAGGTGTGGAGCAGAAAGGGACAGGCACCAACCTCAAAGTGGGCATCTAGCGCTCCATCTAAGGCTGTATAGGAAAGAGGGGTGTCCCAGAAGTCGCTTTGTCCCTTCCCCTCGTACTATCCCTAGATGTGCAAAGAAAAGGAGGCGGTGTATGAAGGGGCTGGATAGGCTTCGTGGATCCTTGCCCGTCCCTCGCTTTCCCCTATCTGGGCAAAGGATGTGTGCCCCTATTTAAAATCTTCCAGATAAGGCTTTCTATCCTGTACTAAGGCAGACACGAAAGACACGACTTTCTAAAAACAACTCAGTGGAATATATCCTCCCGCGCCGTGCGGCCTAGGAGAAGTTTTGGCTAACCCGGCGCGCGTAACGGCGCACAGAGGGTTAACCTTAGTTGGGTCTGAGCGGAGAGGCGGAGACGCGCTCCCATTGGTGGAAAGTTATCCCGGGGCGTGGCCTGTGAGTCTCCGCACCCCACCCCACTTCTCGCAACCCTCTCTCCACTTTGTACCTTTCTCGCCCCGACTGCGAAGCGGGCCGGGACCTGCCGGGCCAGACCAGACCGGACCCCGGGGGCGATGCGGCTGCTGCCCCTGTTGCGGACTGTCCTCTGGGCCGCGCTCCTTGGCTCCCCTCTGCGGGGGGGCTTCAGCCTCCGCCACCCCGTCTACTGGAACTCCAGTAACCCCAGGTAGCCTGGCCGAACCGAGCGAGCGCCAAGCCGGGCCTGCGCGCTCCCGGGCTGTGCGCGCTCCTGCCACTCGCTCTTTGCGCCGCGCCTCCTGAGCCCGGCCGCGCGCCGGGGCTCCTTTGTTTGAGCCGGCAGGGGAGGGGGGAGGGGCTAGGCGCGCCCCGCGTCTCCCACCCCTCCCGCACGTGTTGGGGAGTGGGCTGAGGACCGCAGCCCGGAAGGCAGTCGGTGTGGTCTCGGAGCATGGAGCTGGGGGCCTCGTCCCGCACTCCGGGCCCCGCCCCCCTCGCTTCTCTCCTGGTGATCCCCAGCCTCCCGCCCGCCAGAGCTGGAGCGGACGGACTTGAGAGCGAGGGAGGGGGCTTTGCGCTTGTGAAAGAGCGTGAGTTACTCGTGCTCACTGGGTCTCCCCTCTGGCCCTTGTTCTGTCTCCTGATCCCATTTGGTATCTCTGCTTTCATCTGGATCTTTATCGGTCTGGTCCTTCTATTTCGGTCCGGTCTTGGCCCTGTCCTTCTAGTTGTATTACCTTTGGGCAAGTCGTTTGTCCTCCTGAACCTCATCTGTAAAATGGGCTAATAATACCTAGTACCCTGAGAAGTCAGGAAGGCTAACTGAAGTCATGTATGTGAAAGAGGTTCTTTCTCTCTCCAGAGCTGCCTACCTTAGGACCTTGGGTTTTTTTTACTATTTCCATCTCCCTCCCCAATTCTCTCTGACTCTCTGCCTTCCCCATCTGTTTTCCTTTCTGATCTTCTAGAGACAATCTGTGACTCTGTTCATTTGTTCCGTCACTATCATTTATTAAGCACGTACTGTGTGCCCGAACCTGTGCTAGGTTGCTGGGATTTAGCGACATGAGAAGACCAAGACTCTGCCTTCTGAGAGTACACAGACCCCCCAGGAGGAGAGGCAGAAAGACAGGTCATTACAATACCAATACCGTGTGAGCTGTTGTCCTTAGACTCTGAATTCCTCTATCTCTGTTCCAGACCAGTGCCTCTGAATTATTTGGAGGACCTGTTAAAAATTCAAGTTCCTAGCCCCTAACCCTGAAGTTTCTGGTTCATTCATTCAATCCACAAATATTTATGAGCACTGTCCATGTGCCCTGCACTGGGGATGCAGTGGAACAAAATATACCAAGGCCTTGTCCTTGCTGAGCTTGTGTTCTAGTAGGTCTGGGCTGAGCCCAGAAATCTTCATTTCTAATCAGAACTCCTGATGCCAGTGGTCCTTAGACCACCCACTGACAATTGGAGGCCTTCTATAAGTCAAGCTTCTCTGGGTGTGTAGTGTAAGGGGAAGAGTGGTTCGTGCAGTCTGTGGTATTTGGGGGACAGCCTGTCCCAGCCTTTCTCACCTGTACTGGCTCCCCCAGGCAGCTCCCAAGAGGTGGAGAAGGGAATCCTGAGAAGGCTGAAGACTGTGTAGTGTATGGAGGCGACTCCCCTCCATGCCTGGCACTCCACTGCTCTGGCAAAAAAAAAAGGGAGGCCCTTAGTACCCACTCCCTCATTCTTTTGTTACCATGGCATTCTTTTCACTATTGGGTTGAGATCTAAAGAGTAGTCTTCTCTCTCTGCAGCTGTTATTGAGGCTAGTATTCCCAGTCCCCGCTTCCATGTCTGTGTCTGTAACTAGTGTGGGCCCATTTCTGTACCCCCTGTCTTGCTGCCCCAGCTTCTTCACAGCATCCATCCCCCTAACGTTTATCAAGCACAGATGCTGTGCCAGGCCTAGTGTTGGCACTGGGGCTAGAGAGGTAGGTGGCAGCTCCAGCCCAAAAGATAGCTTGTGGTGACCCCTTCTCACATTTAAGCCATGTGGTTATGGGCACTGCAGTCCCTTAACCTCTCTGAACATGTGATTGATCATCTCATCCATTTCTTATACTCTCTTTGCCTCTCAAGAGTTGTCAGTCAGGGGAACTCAGGCCTTCCTGAGCTGAGCTGCTCCATCTCCAGGGGGTGGGAGAGAGGCTGGCAGGGGCCTCTGAGAAGGGGTATCTCTGACCCCATGCCCCAGTTGTGCTATGCCATAACCCCCTCAGCCCACGCCTACCTTATGCCCACAGGCTGCTTCGAGGAGACGCTGTGGTGGAGTTGGGCCTCAACGATTACCTAGATGTCTTCTGCCCACACTATGAAGGTCCAGGGCCCCCTGAGGGGCCCGAGACATTTGATCTATACATGGTGGACAGGCCAGGCTATGAGGCCTGCCAGGCAAAAGGGGCAGGTGCCTTCAAGCGCTGGGAATGTGCCCTGCCTTTCGCTCCCTTTGGCCCTGTTAAATTCTCAGAAAAGATTCAGCGCTTCACACCCTTCTCCCTTGGCTTTGAATTCTTGCCTGGAGAGACGTACTACTACATCTGTGAGTGATGAAGGGCACACTGGGCCCCCCTTGGGGAAGGTGGGGAGAGGAATGGGGCTCCCTGCCACTGCCAGCAGTCAAGGCAGAGAGCCTGAGGTGAGGGGGAAGGAGAGCCCTGGGAGGGGGAAGGGGACTGTGGTCTCAAATTCAGGGGACAGGGCTGATCCCAGCACTGAGTAGGGGGACATCTAGAGTGAGTCTGTAGAGAGGAGGGAAAAGTAAGAGGAACTAGGAAAGGGGCTAGGAAGTTGAGGAGGGGCATGGACGGGGCCAGGCACATGGGTGTGGTCCCAAAGTAAGGAAAAGCTTTCCAGGAACCTGGAGAGCAGAGGAGCTTGGAGAGTCAAAACAGAATCTGAGGCATACGAAGGGACTCCCTGTGCTAACTTCTTCCTTCCAATTTCCCACCACCCAGCGGTGCCGACTTCAGAAGGCTCTGGCCAGTGCTTGAGGCTCCAGGTGTCCGTCTGCTGCAAGGAGAGCAGTAAGTGGGTTGCGGGTATGGGGAGCAACTCTTCTGGCTAGTGTGGGGCCCTTGAGAAGGAGTGAGGAAAATCTAGGAACATCTGGCTCTGAGGAGTCCAGGTGGAGCTTCAAGCTGTAGCCTCTTCTCTGTTTAGTCTTGTGGAAGCTTCCACTGCACCCCTTTTTAAACTGTGCCAAGAGAATGGGAGCTCCAGGGGCAAGGCCCTTTAAGGCCTTAGCTAGGCTAGTTGTCTCTAGTGGCAATTTGAGGGAGACTTAGAAGTTGGGTCTTAGAAAGGATGAGGTAATAGATCATGGGAAGGTAATGGCTGCTTTAGGACACCCTGGAAAATGGGATGGGAGGGAATAGCTAATGGGAAGGGCAGGAAGGTGGCTACTGAAGAAGTGGGAGGACCTATCAGTGCAACCCTCTCCCTGTCACAGAATCCGAGTCAGCCCATCCTGTTGGGAGCCCTGGAGAGAGTGGCACATCAGGATGGCAAGGTGGGGGCACTCCCAGCCCCCTCTGTCTCTTGCTGTTGCTGCCACTTCTGATTCTGCGTCTCCTTCGAGTTCTGTGAGCCAAGCGGACCCTCTTTGCCACCCCAAGGAGCCAGAGCCCTCCCAGGACCCCCTGGAGGAGGGTTCTCTGTCGTCTGCACTGGGGATGCCAAGCCAGACAGACCAGATGGAGCATTGATGGGGGAGGTCAGAGGGTCTGAGATGACCCTTGCAGGTGCCCGCTGTTTCATCGCATGCTGAGGAGGAGCTACAAGGGAGCAGCAGACAGCCCTGGGCACGTTGGAGCAGAGGCAAGACAAACAGGAGCTCTGTCAGCTGTCTTGATGGTCTCATCCATCCTCCAGGAAGACTAGGATTGGGTGGGATTGAATCCTTGAGTCAGCTGGGGGCCAAAGCTGAAGACCTGGGGACAGGTGGATTGCTGAACCAGGGCAAAGAAGAAGCCCTGCCGTCTGTGCCCTATGGGCCTCTTCACTGGGGCAGCACCATGCCCTCCACAGGGGGTCACTCACTTGTCTTCTGTGAAGACGGACTGACTTGCCATGAGGTTGAATTTCATGCCAATTTGTATTTTTATAAGTGTCTGGACCAAACCTTCAATAAACCACGCATCTTTTTGTTGTCTTTCCCGATCTACTGCCCTCTGGCTCCTTCCCTGACATCAGGATTTGGTCTGACCTCCATGCCAGCTGTGCCCAGGCCATCTATGCCAGCCCTCAGTGGGCGCCCCTCTGGGCAGCATGGGGTGGGTGCCAGCAGCAGCTGTGGAGCTTGGCACCCTCTCCCACCTCCCAGCCAGCTTCCTGTGCTGAGGAGGGGCAGATGCTCCTGACAGCCCACCTGCTTGGGGCACTGCCCAAGATCTCACAGCACCAACCAGGGTGCTGGGGCAAAAGTGAGGGGTAGTAGAAAGACAGCACCTGGATTTCAGAATGCCTGGGTCCATGAGAGCTGGGCATCCCTCCCCCTCCCCAGTGGCACTCTGGGCGGTGTCTGGCCTGGAACAGGGAAGGTGGGGTCAGATCAAAGCCTCCTAACCCAGCGGCCTCTTTGTTCTTCGCTTTTATAAGGAGGAGGGGGTGGGGCTGAGGAGGGAGGGCCCCCTTAGCTGTCAGCCCGACACTGTCTTTACCACCTCTGGCAGACGAGGCTACGATCCCCCAAGCCCAACCGGAGCCCTCTTTGTGAAAGGTGTCCTGGGTGGAGCCAGGGTAAGGGGCCCCCCTTTCCCTGCAGCTGTGCTCTACCCGGCCCGGTACCCCGCAGCCTCCCCGGGCACGGTGCCGGCCCGCCTGGCACCGAGCCAGCGATCGATAGGTGGATGTTGTGCTGATTAGCTCGGCCGGGCTGCGGCAGCGAGAGGCGGCGTGTGAACACGGGGCGGGGTGGGAGGGAGAGGTAGAGGGGGTAGGGCGCTGGGGGTCTAGAGACCGATGAATACGGATGCTGGAGATTGTGAACCCCGCCCCCTCCCCGGTCCCTTTGCCCACCTAGGTCAGACTCCGGTCCTGTCCTCTCGGAGAAGCCGTAGCCCTCTTCCCCGCCACCAAGCACCGACTTCGGCCGTCATCGTTCGGGTTGATTCCATTGCTGTGGCTGAGGCCTGGGGTGGAGGGCGGCACCGCGGGCAGAGCAAACGCGAGTCAACTGTTTCCCCCACTCTGAGAAAATGTCATGTCTGTAGTGCGTGTGCCTGTGTATTCGTGTACCAGGGCCCTCGCCCCAAACCTGATCTTTTTAGCAGGGTTGAGAGACTAGGGCGCGGAGGAGAGGGTGGAGTCTGAGCTGAAGGAGGAGCTATAGGCTCGGTCTTCTGGGCCTGGGTTCGAGTTCTGTCTCTACAGTCATGCAGGAGGGTGTCTCTTTGTTGCCATGGAAACAGACTGTACTACCTTTGCCCTACCCCGTAGGCGGGGCAGGCAGGGGGCGACTGGTTAGCAGCCCCCGGATTGAGAATTGTGGGGGGGGTCTCACCCTGCTCCCAGCAGCCCCAGACACCCCCTCTTCGTTGACCAAGGCAGGCGCGCTCGCTCCCGAGTCCGGGGCGGGCGCGCGGATCCGCCGCTGATAAGAACGCATGTGCGAAAGATGCGGAGCCGGGTCTGCTTTCCCCGCACTCAGACGCACGCCCTCACTCGCAGTCAGACGCGCACACTCGACACAGACACACGCCCTCGCCAGCCGCCCAGCTCCCTGCGGGCGCGAGGGCGGATACGTCGGCGACGCGGGAGCTGCGCAGGGGGGTCGCAAACTCAGGCCCGCCCGGCCGCAGGTGCTCAGGCCAAATCGGCCCTCATACAGTTTGCTCACAGCCTCGGCCCTGCGCGGGCGGCTGATCCAGTCCCGGGGCGCGTCCCCACGGAGAGCTAGGACTGAGTCTACTCCCGGGGCCGAGACGGACGGAAGGCGCTGGGCGGTCTTCTGGGCACCAGGCCCTTCCCACGAGAAGTCCTCGAGGCGTGTTCCGGGGCTCGGTTCCAAGAGGCTGGGCAGGCCTGCAAGTTTTGGGGCGTCACCGATCTCCCCTAAACTCAGCGGCGCTAGACGGCTGAGGGTGGGGCCCTCAGTTTGCTGGGCCTGCCCTAGTCTCTCCCGAACAGATGCGAAAACTCTACTCGTCTTTACCTCGCCCTGTCTGTCCTGAGAGCCCGAGTCTCTGCGACCCGGATCCTGCTCCACACTTTCCGGCGTTGCTAATCGCCCTTTTCCCCTCGAGACTAAATTCTGAAGTTTGGGTCTTTAACCGTGATCCCTCCTTTTCTTCTTCCTTTTTAGCACATTATTCAGCACATTGTGAGCTCCCTGTGCTCCCTTCTTTCAGTCAGCCACACTAGCTAGGGTCATTGGGGTATCCCCAGCGGTGACGCAGTTGAAAAGGGTGCACTCTCCCTTCTATATAACCAATAGAATCCCGGGGCCTGGGGCATGAGGTCATCAGTGGTGATGCCCATTGGTTCCGGCCTGGAAGTGAGGAGGGGTCCCCATAGCAACCGACGGTGCTTCTGAGCGTAACCTGGAGAATGGTCGCTGCTTGAGCTGCTGTGGCAGCTCGGGTGGGTGTTTGGGATGGGGAGGTGAAGTCAAAGTGGAGCTCAGCTTCCCAAATCCTGCAGCCCTAGCCCAACCAAGTTCTTCTCTTTCTTGAGATCCTCTTTTTCACTCAAAGTATTGTTAAGCGACACTTAACCCAAAAAGGTTCGGAGGGAGTTATTGGCGACAGCGTTGGGGTTCTGGGTACAGAGCTGCTGCCACCGGGAATGTCAGTTCTGAGATCCTTGTGTTCATCTGCATATCGTCTGCATCTCATTTGCATTCTCTTCATTTAAGGTCAAATTGGGCAGACATCTCCACAGCCCCAGCCCTGTCGCTTGTCTGTATCTGCAATGTATCCCTTTGTGGCTCTCTAACCTATCCCTCAGTTGTCCAACTTCATACTCCACCCCTCCTCCCACTCTACAGTGTCTCCTGGGGATGAGAGGGGGCAAAGCCTAGCTAAAGGAGAAAGGATAAGAAGCCTGCCTCTCCCTCTGGATGATTGGTGACAGATGGGGAGTGCTGGTCTGTACTGCTTGGAGACCAAATTGGCAAAGCAAGCGGTGGGGGGAGGTGCCCCTGCTGGGTTGAGGGTCTCCAGGGCCAAATCACCCACACGCCTGGCAGGGTGCTGGAAGTAGGGATGCCTGGTTCCAGCCAGGGGCAGGCCAGCCCACCTGTCTGGTGCCAGGGCAGTTTCCTTCCTCCAATTAGACACTAATGAGGTGTCATTAACCCTTACCTTGCCTTCCAGCACTTAGGTGGAACTCAAAATTCATGGTCTAACACTGAAGGAAGAGGGGAAAAGGAGGGCCTTCGAGGAAGCTCAGGGTCAGGGGACCAGGAGACAATAACACAGGGCCAAAGACGTGAGTAGCATGCACTAGTTATGCTCAGTGGGTTTCTAAGGGATTCTAGGAATGGGTGTCTACTGTCAGAATGCATTTATTCTTTTGTTCATTTATTCAAAAATTATTTATAAAACATCTCACCGACTCCTGCTCACTAAATACCAGTCTGCATGCTAAATGCTGGGGATACACACCTGCATAAGACAAGATCCCTTCCCTTAAGAAATCTTCAGATTACCGGAGGAAATAGACTGGCCAATGAATAATTATAATGTCAAGTGCAAGTGCTAATATAGAGCTACATACAAAGTGCTGTGGGAACACAGGGAAAATGGGCTGTCAGAGAAGGCTTTGATTTTGAAGGACAAACTTTATGGCGGGGAGGGGATGTGAAGGACTAATAATGTTTGTGTGTTTGATACAGTGCGATGCATTTGGATGTGTTTTCAGGACTGCTGGTGTCTGCCCTTCCAGGGTTGTATGTTTTGCATCTGTATGCATGTGTGTGAGTGTGTGTGTGCGTTGTCTAGATCGCTCTGTGTCTGGAATCCCTTCTCCTGAACACACATTGTGGTTTTATTACATATCAATGTTTGCTGTGAAGCTCTTTTACAGATTGGCCTGAACCTGCCCAGCCCAGGGAAGAAGAAGTAGAGACCTGATGTTAGCTCCTTGGGAAGGGGTGGGCAAGCACCATCTTCACACTGGGGTCCCAGACCCCTGGCTCCCCAAGTGGCAGCAGGCTGGCCAAGGGAGGCAAAGGGCTGGACCCTAGGCTATGGGTAGGGTATGCCAAAGCCATAATCCCCTCTGCTCCTTACTGTCCAGAGGAGACAAGGGAGTTATAGCCACCACTCTCCACTGAGATCTCAGGCCCCCTGCCCCAGCCTGTTTCTCTCCTGTCTGCTGAGGAGTAGGCCGGCACAGACCTGTCTGCTGGCTCTCTCCTTCAGGGAGCAAATCCTTTCCAGAGGACAAGAGAGGGCTGGGGAATGCTGGGGCTTACTGGGAGGCCGCCAGACGCTCCGCCCTGGCCCTCTGAGGAGACTCTCTTCAGCCTGGATTCTCCCCACCCACTCTGGGGTGCCACTTTTCTAGTTTTTCTCCAGACATTGCATCTTTGCCAGGGAAGCCCTAGACAGCTAGGCAGAGGGTGGGGGCTAGAGCTCTGGCAATGAAGACTGGGGTGTGAGGGAGGATGTGGTACCGTTCAGAGACCTCTACTCCAATTCTGTCTCCTTGTAGCCTCTTGCTAGAAGTCTAAATTTTGGTAAAAGTCTGGATCTACGGAGAGACTTACAGGTTAAGGAGAGGGTCTGGGGTCTGAGGAGAAGGTCAAGGACCCCTTCTTTCACACTGTCAATGATGAAGACTTTGTTTTTTACTGTGACTCCCTCTTCCCCTTATTCCATCAATTTTTTCCTACCTCTTCCCTAATCTCCAAGCACTAGGTCACCTCTTTCATTATAATAGCTGTTAGGGAAGCTTGGAAATGAGAGAGAACAAATGGAAAAGAGAGTCTGGAGCTGGTCTAGGTGGGCAGACCTCATGAGATAACCCCTTAATAATAATGATGAAGAAGCTTCCATTAATCAAGCAACTCTTGGGTCCTAAACACTATGCTGAGTGCTTCCCAGACATTATGGATCTTAATCCTCATAACAACCAACTCCTCATGGTAGGGTATTATTATCCCCTTTTTATATATGAGGAAGCAGTCTCAGAGAAGTTAAGTGACTAGCATAGCCAGTGAGTGGTAGAACTGGAATTTGAACCCAAGCCCATGCTGTTAACTGCTAAGGCATACTGCCTCCCTCTCAGCTTTTCTTGAAGAACATTCTAAGAACTCACACACACCGCTAGTGTAACACCTCAGAGATCCCTCCCTGCTCCAGGCTTCTTGGCTTGATGGACTCATTAGGGGGATCAAGGCATGACTAGAATCAGAGGTTATTACACCCCAACCCCACCCACCAAGCCCTGCATCCTAATTTCCTGTGTCCTGGACCACACTCCAGTGCACTGTGTTCCCTGTGCGTGGTTCCATGTCAATGCATGGATGTTAGAGCACCATGGTGCCATGATGACACACACACTGGGAAGTCAGAAGACATGTGCATAACCCTCCTTGTTGGCACCTAGTTTTCCATGTTAGGACCACACCAACAGTCTGCTCATGATGGGGCATACACATGGGCCCTGTGTAAGGTGCAGAACCTATGAATATTTCATGTCTGGAGCTGGTGGCTGCTTCTCCTGCTTACATGTGTGCCCGATCTTCCCTCTCACAGGCTCCTTGTTTATTTGTTTAATGAATTATTTATTCCTATCTCCCCCTTCCCTCCTGGCCTCCCCCTCCCCCAGGCCCTAGCCTCCATGATTTATTGAACACAGCTGAGCTCTGTGGTTTCCAGCCGTTGTCCCATGAGCTGCCTTAGGCCACACAGCCTGAGAGCTCCCTCTGCCCCAGACCTGCTCAGCTCCCTGATTCCTTGGCCCCCAGGGGAGGGGAGAAAGGGAGGTACCATGTCAGAGAGTTCTCAGGGGCCTGAGCTCAGTGCCCCTGGAGAGATCATGGCAGCCAGCAGTGTACTGTTAAGCCCAAGAGTCAAAGAGAAATGAAGGCAGAGCCTGCAGGTGAGGAGAAAGGAGGCGTGCAACCCTAGAAAGAGGACCAGCCCCATGGAGAGAACCTCAGCCTTGACAAAGGCCCTCACCCTACAGAGAGGTAGATCAGACCCCAGGCCTTAGATTCTAGTTTTTCACTCTATAGGTTGTGATCCACTGGGGGTGGTGGAACCAAAAAAATCAATTTTATGGGTCTCAACCAGCTTTTTAATTTAATTTTACTTTTAATTTTATTTCTTTTTTATTTTTTTAAAAGAGATGACCAGTAAGGGGATCTTAACCCTTGACTTGGTGTTGTCAGCACCACACTCTCCCAAGTGAGCCACGGGCCGGCCCATCTTATTTTTAATTTTAAAAACAGAACGGAAGAATAGTATCAGAGTGTATCCTCTGTAGTGAGGATATTGTTTCATGAAACTTAATGTTTCAGTTAAATGTGTGAATGTGTGTGCATTTGTGTGTACTGGATTGCCAAATGAAATGTACATCCTACTGTGGGTCATAGTCAGGAATGATTGGAATCACAGTTATAAACAAAGACCTAGATCCCATTGATAGAAACCTGAGTCCTTCCATGACCCAGATGCCACAGAGAGAGGCCTAGTCCTTCAAGTCAAGTCCCAGGCATGTAGACAGTGGTCCAGATCTTACACAGAGACCCAATCCCTAGAGAAGGCAAGACTGCATGAATAGAGACCTATAGACAGGCCCGAGCATTATAGCTGGAGCCGCATATCCTATAGACAGAACTGCCACATACAGTTGTGCAGTTTGTGCATGGCACAAAGGAGCCACCCACAAGGCAAGTAGATGCTGACATCAGCCCAAGCTCCCTCACTGAGATAGGGAGACACATAGTGTCACCTCCCACTGAAGGAAGCAGCACCTTTGTTTTTGCACAAAGACACCACTTGCCAAGAGATCCCTAGGGACTGGGTCTACATAGAGGGGTGCTTTTTCTAACTCACATAAAGGCCCAAATCAGCCAGCGGCCCTGTGGACAGAGGCCCAGGTAGACAGAGCACCAGATCCCATGGACATAGGCCTAGGCCCTGTAGAAAGTATCTTAACTTAAAAACCAGAGGTGTGGACCCCATAGAAAGAGCTGCTTAAATCCTACAGAGAAGACTCCAGATTCCAGAGAGAAGGCCTAAGATATTATTGGAGGGTGGGTGTGGAGGTGCTCGATTCTTTTTTTTTTTTTTTAAGATGACTGGTAAGGGGATCTTAACCCTTGACTTGGTGTTCTCAGCACCACGCTCTCCCAAGTGAGTCACAAGCTAGATTCTAGCCCCTGGAAGTGCTAGATTCTAAAGAACAGTATCTGGGCCCTATAAAAAAGGGCCCAAATCCTTAAGTTTTCTAAAATAGAATCTAAAGTTCTAGACCAAAGCAGCAAGCTCCCACTCACTAAGAATATGGGCAGCCTCTCCACCAACTGCAGGTCCTATAGAGAGATGCCTATCTTCGTGGAGCACAGAGAGTGGATAGGAGGGGAGGGAACTGGGATTTGTCGCATCTGTAGTAGACAGGTTAGCATCATTTGGGTGAGACAAATCTCCCTGAGGATGAAGAGTTTGGGGGGAGGGAGAACTGTTTGCAAAGTCCCCCACTCGCACCTCAAGAGTCTTAATTTATTTTCTGGCTCCTAAGAAGGGAGAAGAGATCTTCCGGGGTGGAGAAAGGCACAGAAAGGACAGAGCCTGCTCTTGTCTGGCAGTAGCTAGGCACAGAACCTATTCTGGAAGGCACTGCTCCTCCCCCAGACCAGCACCTGAGGCAGACTGTGGTCAGGACCTTGCCTGTCAAGGACAAGCAGATGAAGGGTGCCTGTATGCCCTGTCTGCCAAAGTACCGAAGCAAAATGGCATTATGCCTGTCTCTTTGGGAACATGTGGTTGGCTTGGGTTCTGAGAACCCAGTCAGGCCTGGTTCTGCCCAGTCACTCTTATTTTTATTTTTATTTTTTTAAAAGATGACCGGTAAGAGGGATCTTAACCCTTGACTTGGTGTTGCCAGCACCACGCTCTCCCAAGTGAGCTCACCGGCCATCCCTGTATAGGGATCCGAACCCGTGGCCTCGGTGTTATCAGCACCACACTCTCCCAAGTGAGCCATAGGCCGGTCCTTGCCCAGTCACTCTTAGTCTGGGCCTCTCCAAAAAAGAAGAGTTAAGGGGTGGACAATCCCAGGTCTGGATTCTGGACACTTTCCCTGAATTTTTACTTCCTAGGAAAACAAGAGAGAAGAGGAGAGCACAGAACTCTATGTGTATGTGTCAGAGGATGCATGTGGGTTTGTGAATTATTGTGTGTGTGTGTGTCTGAGTGTGTGCTTCTATGTCTCTGTGTGTCTACGTGCCTGTGTTTCTACACATTTCTAGTTGTCTAATAGTACCTTTACCTGTGTGTGTCTGCGAGGGGTATCTGTGTGTCTGCATGTCTGTGTGTCAAGTACCTGGGTTTCTGTGTTCTCTGCCTCTGGGTACCTGTCCATTTTTCCTGAATGTGTGTGTATGTGTGTGTGCTTGGGTGTCACTGTGAGGACAATGACTGTGGTGAGAGCTGAAATGATAGGTGCTCTGCCCTCTGTCCTCAGGGTCAGCGTCTGTGAGAGTAGGAGTGAGAATGCCTGGGGACACCACTGGCTGCATTGGGAGGGAGCCCTGTCTGAGTGTGATTGAGTGTCCTTTGTAGGTGTTCCAGGAAAGCCAGCTTTGCTCTAGCCAGCTCTCTCCTTAGTCCCTCCTGTGCCTTGGGCCCTGGACTGCCAAAGGCCCTACCAGCACCCAGTATTGACATTCTTGGAGGCTGAGCTTCTCTACTCAACCTCCAAGAAAAACAAGCTTCACACTCAGCTGGGGACTTCAGGTCACCAGCTGTCAAGTTCTTGACACCAGCTGAGGGCTTCTCCACCGCCCTTCTGTGCCCACCTGACTCCTCATGCACAAGGAAAGAGGGGTCATGGAGGGAGCAGAGAGCCGAATTGTTCATAAAGGAAGGGGCTCTAGTCCTACATATTAAGAGATCCTGGACCCCCGCTTCTTCTTGAGTCTCCTTCACCCCAACCCAGAGATGAATGGGCTCAATTGAGATGAGATCCCTGTCTTGGGCTCCCACATCTTTCTCCTGGCACTTCCAGCCTGGGGAGCAAAAGGCCCAGGACCAGCTGTAGCAAACAACCTAGGAGAGAGAGAGAGAGAGGCGAGGCGCGCAGCGCTTGTTCCCGAGGGGGCAGCACAGTCCCCACTTCCCACGCGCCGCGCGCTCCCGGCCCGAGCGGGGCGGGGCCTGGCGGGAGCGCGCCAGGGGCGGGGCTTCGGGGTCG